AATTTTTTATTTTACTATCGCCAAGAATCAATAATAAACTAACGTAATCACAGGAGTGTACTTGATAGTAGGTAATGAAAGTATACGGCTGATTAGTAGTTTTACATAATAAAACAAAATATTGTTTTTGTATCATTAATCAATATTTATTATCATAATCAAGTGTTAACTTATTGAAATCTGTAGAGTAGGTACTAGAATTCTAGAACACGGTACTTTATTACCGATACACAGTGTACCATATATACAGAGTTATAGATAGGTATACTCATATATAGGTACGTCAGTCGCCAATCGAATTAATGAATTACTTTTAATATATATAGCATATATATATATATATATGCTTGTTACACAGAATGTACTATCACGATGAATTAATTCCGCCACGATGTCTTTTTATTTTTTCGATACATTCTATGTAGGTACGTTCCATTTAAAACAGTTGCCTATTAATATACAATAGTGTGAATTATATTCGACTTTTTTTCAATCATTTATTACAATGACCCCTTATAGTACTCGTACATTAAATAAAAATACATCAAATTTGTGGCGCGGTGATAATCAATACCATACAAATGATATAATTATTAGAAAACTAATATATTAATTACATTTGATCTATATGCGCGTTTAGAAGCTCTCATTATTAGAATAAAATACTGAAACTTTTTATTTCTTTTTTAAAATTACCTCACTACATATTATTAGATACACAGCTTGTATGTGCACTATGCAGTTATATGTTATTTGCTGAATTTTTTTTATGATTATCGGCATTTTAAACCGTATATATTTATACAGAGTACTCTAAACGAAAAGGTATACCAACATCATCATAAATTAAAAGTAGGCAGTGATGGAATTTAATGTAGGTAAGTACTTGCCATCATTCCATCGCATTAAATTAGTATCCATAAAAAACGTTCGCGGGTTACGTTCTGTACGGATTATAGGCCCGGAAATTACCTAATGCAATGAATACTGGCCGTTAATAAAATATTATCAGCAGACACGCATTTTGGGAAAAAGCTAGGTAGTATAGACTTATTTATATTATTTCCTACGTTTAATCAAACGAATGGAAAACGATTTTTTTTTTTTTTATTTTCGTTTCGCGTCACACATAAATATAGCTATTTAATTGATAAACATATGATGGTGATATATATGATGGGTTAGGTTTAAATGGGTGATATCCCGCTATCATTGTTGTCCAACAGTTTCAAACACTGCAGTTTATGGAACCAATAACGTACGCGCTGAACAACATTTAGCAAATATTTTGTATTGTATTTACGTAATACGATAACATTATAATTGGGATTTATTCAAAATACAATTAGAACAGAGCTTGCTCTCCGCGGATCAGCGAACTAATTTATTGTTAAGAGGTTATACTACATACTAGCTGATAATTTGAATTGCCCGCAAATCATAAATCACTCAATGGCAGGCAATCATTTTATATTTATTTATTAGATTTTTTTTGTGGAAATACTTTTTGAGATAGTATTAATCTGCTCAAACAGTTGTATGCGTATAGTAACGCTATAGAAGAGTGTAATCGCACATAGATGGCGGTACCTACTTACCCTATAAAAGTGGGGTTTTTCAAATTTGTCCTTTTAATGCGGTCACTGTGAAAATAACAACTTTTTAAACTTTTAACTTTTTTAGCGAGTTTTATACTAACGAAATCGTTTTTCGTAAATTGCGGTCAAATAAAAAATAATAAGAATAAACTATACTATAATATCGTTTAGCGAAGCGGGTGATTTCAGTACGGTTCTCAAATTCGAGATTTTTAGAATATTTGATTAAGAGGACCCGCATACCCGCAGTTAATTTCTTGTCTAACTAACATGGCAAACAAAGCAGAAACCAGGTAGATAGTAAAACATAAATAATTGTGACGTTTTAAATATTATTACAGTTTGTAGGTACACGAATAGCAGAATTTTTAGAGGAGAATATTTTCAAGTACGTTGTTTAAAAAAATTTCGCTAAAAACAAAAAAGTTACAGATATGTTAGTTTGTGCTTTTTTTTTAATATAGCTGTGCATAAAAAGTATCTGGTTTACTAGATTAACACAATATAACACTTACATGTGATTTAAATTCCGTTACTTACTCAAAACTTTATTTGTATTATCACACAGTTTTCATTACCTACTCGTTTTATTAAGAACATTAATAACTGTATATTGTATTATTTTATTGTTCGGCATTGAAAATATCAGGTGCCTAAATATAAACGACAAATCGCGAGTTTATGTTACTTATTATAAAAAAATAAAATAAAAAACAATTACAAAAATTGCATTGTTTACTAATTTATTAATAGATGTGTATTTATCGTGCGTCATACATTTATTACGCTTATAATGTACAAACAATGTTTACAGATTGTTTGAACACACGTTTTAACACAAACTCAAAAACAATAATAATGGACAAAAATATACGTATATTATACTATTCTTGCTTATGTATAGTATAAACAATAAGTTGTATTATATACCTGATTTTTTTTTTTTTTTTTATTGTACTATGTCGTTACAGCGATATTATGTACAGGTTATCTGATAACCTGTATACGAAGTAGAAAAAAGAGCAGAATTCAGTTTTCCCTGCCTCTCCCGTTTGGATGCTCGAGGTGTCTCCACAGTAATAATCCGTGTAGGTACCTAACAATTAGGTTATTTAAATTAACGAGTCGATTTTAAGAGGACTGGATATTTTCTGTTTTTGCCCAACACGATATACTCTCATCAGCATAACAGATCGATGTTGAGAAGCGATACGAATTTCCGGAAACAGATTTGAATTCAGCGTGAAGTGTACACATCGTATGCATTTAAGTTCTTGATTTCCAGAAATTTGATTTTAAAATTTGAAAAAGGCTACTGACCTATCCGATTTTTCATAACTTTGAGCTGAATTCAAATCCGTTTTTAAACATATTTTTATCGTTTCGTTACATCACTTATGGATCACATCATTACTAATATACGTAATACGTATCCGTATTGTGTTAGAAAGAAAGAAAGTGTCGTTATTTCGTTAGGTACCTGTCCAATTTCTTCTTTAGTTCCAAATATTATACTAATAAAAATATTATATTAGTCTTGAACAATATATAATACACAATATATCGATTACAAATGTGTATATAATTTTGGCAAAAAACAAGAAGAAAGACGTTAACTATTTGAAATTTAACAATTTTCGTTTTAAATATGATCACGGTCATAGAATACAGTTGTGACTTGCGAGTGTTATGACGAAATGATGAGTGTTATGTTATGAAACTGAAATTAATTGATGTTGGCTTATCTATAATATAATTCGTCATTTAGAGTAATAATTAAATACCGAGTTTATACGTTTTGCCGATGTTTATATGCTAAATTATAAATAGTGGGTACCTACACGTATTAAGTAATAACTGATACGGATTTCGTATCGAAAATCCTAATGACCGTTATAAAATTTAATAAATAATAATTACGTAATATTATTGTGTATCATTACAATATTATTATTGTTAAAACAGTAATTTAAAAGTTATAAACAGAGCTGCGAAGTGTTTTAAACAATTGTTTAAAAACTTTTGAAACGAGTCCCTATATTTGAAACGTTTTATACGTACATGTTAATAACGTTTTAAACGTTCAAAAATTAAATTAAAACAACCGTAATGTGTTCTGAATAGTGAAGATAGGTACACATAGTTAACACCCATTTTTAAAATATAAATGAAAATAAAAAGTTCCAAATACTGTTGAATAAAGAAGTACCCAATATTTTTCCAATAATTGTTATTTTGTTTTCAATTAAAGATGATAAAATTCTATTTATAATTAACGAATATTGCAATACAATATTTACAAAAAATGATGTTGAAAACATATGTTTATTTTTTTAACCGTTTTTGTTTGCAACTCTGGTTATAAAGAAGTAAGTAGGCGTATAGACGATTATAACTAAAATATTAAAGTCTAAATTATTCGGTTGCTATTATATTTTATCATGCAAAATTTTATCATTAGGGAGTTTTCAATGATGAATTTTTTTTTTTTTTTTTAATAATGATAATATTCATACACTTGAATAAATTATAAAATTAATCATTTTATTTTTATTCATTACGTCTTATATGGTATGGGTAATTTGATTAATTACGTTATTATTATCAACCATGGTTGTTATAATAAACAACTCGGTTTTATAATATTAAAATATTATACGATTACAAAACAATATCATAGTTTTATGTAAAAAGTACGTTTAGAAAAATAGCACACAACAAAATTTTCTCATATTTAAGTTTTGTTATCTGCGACTTCAATTTTAACCTAAACGCGATAATTTATAAGTTTTACGTAACGTGATTCTGCTATGTTGTTCATAGGCGGATATAGAGGGGAGATTCAGGAGGATTAAGCCTCTCAGAATGTTTTAAAACCATCCCAAGATGATGTAAGGTCCATTATTCCTCCCCTCCCGGAATTTGTTAGCCCCTCTACAACACTAAACAATGTATTCCCAAACATTTATTCGTAAGAATTTTTTTATCAATATTTTACAAAAGGTATTTAATTTTTTAATCAATTGTCAACAGTGGGAAACAATTTAGAATTCCTAGACAGTTGATGAGAATTTATAGGTATCGCATAACGTATATTTTGTGTTTAATACCACGTTTTATTCCACACGGCACACTCACGGCGTTCACTTGATCATTTGAACGCAGAAAATATAGATTTATAACTTATAAACAACTTAAATAAGTTATAAGTTCAACATTAAAATTAAATATATAGTGTCTATAGCCGCTGTGGCGCTGGTATAGGTATAATTTAATTATTGATTCGTTTTATTTGTAAATACGTATCTTATAGGGCCAATAGTGTTCAATGGCGTGCTCAAAGGCAACGAGGTTAGGGGTTATATCCCTTCTCCATTAGTTTAATAATATAACAATATAAGTGCCTATTTATCATGTAACTTTATTTTGAAATTACGTATTTATAATAGCGAAGTTACATAGATACAAGTTTAATTAATTTACACAAATTGGCTTTTTTGAATCCGGCATTTAAATTTTTACTGGCTGTGACGTACTGACGAATGGTCTTATGAGTTTTAGACTACAGGCTGAAGGCGAGCGAATTTGATTTATTGGATTCTGAAAAAGCACGGAGGACCGGTTCGTGTTCGTCGTCCATATATCAATACGATCTCCGGCAAAATCTCCAAAGACCTTGAAAAGAGTTCTAACGGAGAAGAAGATTCTGTGATCCATGGATTATCGTTATAATTCACTAGTTAAAAATACGTGTTTATGTCTTTTCTCATTTAAAATTCCTGGACACATCACTGATTGTGCTAATATGTATATTGGACACCAAAGGTAGATCAATTTAAGCCGTAGATTATAGTGTATCAAGCCTGACTAAAAATGTCAAGCACCCTCACAGATGTGACTAAATATTCACTTATGATTTTGCCCGGTAGTTAGTTTGAGACAGCAAAGAGGCTATTGGAGTACTAAACGTCAAGTCACCATTGATAAATTAAATCATATTGAGATGTGCAGCCGCTATTTGACGGGATATGTTACGGTCCTGCGTAAAAATTGAAATGAATATTAAACAATCTAACTAATGGTAATTACAGATCTTGGGGGAGGGCAAAACAATTTACAACATCGGTTAATGGCACCGGATATATATTTTACAACAATACAAGAAAAACAAACTAAACTATGGTTTTTGGACGGGGGAAATGCTTCTATTTCCCTTCTATTTCAGCTTTCCCCTGGATCTGCTGAGTCAACATACTGTCATGTATTCATTTTAATGGATTTTATCACATAGTAGTTCGTTTAATCAGTATACAAAAACACATTTTTGAAAAAAAAAAAAAAAAAAAAATTAAAAACATTATTAGGTACGTATTATGATTTCGGTACATTTATTGGTATACGCATCGTATACCGCAGACAAACAGCACTGCAAGTGTGTCATTAAAAAGAGGCATTAATAGCGTTTGATTAAACTTACCACTCGATATATTATAGTACATAAATCTACACGGTGTTAAAAGTATTACATGCATTTGAAAAAAAAAAATATAGTTTTTTAAGTCATATAGAACGGAATTTCAAACACACACACAAAAAAAAAAACCGTAATATTTCGCACCATGGGTGTGTCACTATTGTGAGTGTGATATTGAGAAAGTAGGATATATATAAGATAATTTAAAAATTATAACTGTATGCAATGATAAATCGTTGCTAACGAAAACTGATTCTGAGCGTTAAACATGTTTTAAAAAATCGTTTGTAGTTTTTGTTACAACAAAATAAATAATAATAACTGTCCTTATTTGTTTGTTTCAAATTTTCGAAAATTTTGAAGGAATCAAAAAGGGTTTTTTCCACATAAATCAGAAAATAATTTGGAAAGTGCCGTGAATTTTACGATTTTCTTTAAAATTTGAACTTTAAACGGTTATGAAAAAAAAAAAAAATTGAAAACTTGAAATCTTGGTAATTACCTATAAAGTGCTACAAGAACAACATAATATGATATACCTTGTAAACTAAAACAATTATAAAACAAATTATTTTCAACTGGATTACGAAAATAAAATAAATTTTTTTCCCAATTATTAAGAAAACTACAAGGAACATCAAAAGACGATCTCCACAATGCTCTAAATAGATAAAATTTACTACCGAAAACCACTTCTGAAATTGATGATTGGTGCTAGATTTCTTGGAAAAAAGTTGTTCACGGTCGGATCAAAAATAAAAAAAATAAATAAATAAAAAATAATAATAATACTAAAATAAAATAAAAGCACATACTATAGTAAAACTAATACATTTCTCTCCGTACGGTCAAAATATAAAATAGTTTTTAAGTATAGCTAGAAGTATATACAAGATACAACATAACATAACATTATTGTGCCTAACCTTCCTATCGTAGTACATTATGCTCTTTTCAGAATCTAAAATACGCGTACCTATACAATTGGTTTTAGCTCTCTCTCCGCAGTATTTAACAACATAATCGAGAAAGTTATATGCGAATGATGCGTGTATATGTGCATCTGAGAAACGGTATTGCCTTTCAACCGGAAGCCTAACCTCAATAATATATTATAGACACTACTATTATTAATATTATAATTTACATACATTGTCTTTATAGCGTACGCATATTGACAACCGTGTTTAAAATTGTCACTTTGGAGCACATACCACAACTATATACACGAGTACACGACAACATGTTATTTTCTGATTCCCCCTCCTTCCACACATTGGGTAGGGTATGAATGGAAGTTTGTAATTATTGTCATTTAAAAATTCGCCATAGTATGTATTAAAACTTAAAAGTTGTTACTAATTACTAACCTTGGTGTGTCCGGTAATAAACTCAATTGTAATTTCCGTTTTGCAGTCGTCCTTCTTATGCTGTACATTCTCAGTAAAATGATTGATAATTATTTTTTAAACGAATACCTTAATGCGCATTGTGGTCAGTGTGCTATAGTTGTCTACAGTTCTGCTGCGTTTTTCATCGATTAATTCCTGTTTATTTTTTTTTAATAAACCTGAAATATTAATGAAATAATTATAATATAATTAAATAAAGAGCTTGTTAGGTTAGGTTAGGTTACTTACCGCTGTTTGGCATACCACTGTTGTAGTTGGGAAGTTAGAAAGGTAGGATATATAAAGTTATTTAATGCACGTAAGTACGCAACGATAAAACATTGCTGACGAAATACGATTCTGAGCGAAGTTCAGTTAAAAGTATTTTGAAATGCCATGCATTATTATGATTTTTGTTAAAATTTAATTTTTAAATGTTTACTACAATACGCTCAATTTTTTTTTAACATCAAAAATAACTTATGATGAACCTCGTGTATAATTGTTAAACATATCCACATTATCCACATTTATCCACATAATACTAAATAAAAATTAAAATAACTAAAAAATGTAAAATACCAATATGGTTCAAAATTTTTGACGTTTAAAAAAGTCTTACATACATATCTTGTAAACATTTTAGGTGCCTATAATTATGTTTGACTGAATCACAATAAATAAACCAAATTGAAAATAATGGCCGGTTTTTTCTACATTTTTCCCTGGGTTTTCCCATTTATTCATAAAACTTCTCGGAAAATCAAAAAATAACCTCTCCAATATACCGAGTAGGTCCGAAATTTTACAAAAAAATTATTTTGTTGTTTTTTGATTGGAGCGAGATTTTTGGTAAATAAATGGTTCACAGTCATACAGAAAAAAATGCGCCCACATCATGATACAGTGAAACTAATACATTTTATTCTCTACTACTATTTCTACTACTACTTCTTCTACTATTCTCAAAATCTAAAACGAAATTTTGGCTATATTGCTTGCTATCCATTCATAATATTTCCAAAAATTTTACTTCTACACCTAATTTTTTTTCGACCAATTTTAAATCAGCCTTTCGGGTGAAAGTGTAGATGTAAACAGTCTATTGCTCTGTTAATAATTGTATAACACCGTTGGCTTTAAAAAATATATGAAATATGGTAACTTAGTAACACTAACTTATTGTCATTTATATAGGATAGTACCATAGATGCCCATTGGAGGGCACGAGGGGGACATATTCGTTGCTGAAAAATATTATAAATAGGTACACAAAATTACTTTTATTGAGCCTTGACGCAAAAATTATGGCGTACTACCTGGATGATTATTGATTGTTCTTCTTGTAATGGACCCATCATAACACTATAACATAACCTAACTTTTTGTACAGGTCTGCGTTCTTGTATCTACACAATATATATCGTTATATTAGTCTTAAATGCATGTTGGAAAACCTTGTTCCGGTTTGTCCTTCCTCTAAAATCTACGTTATTGGTGTCGGATGCCCACGGCTAGTGCGGCTTTGTACTGTTCATTTATTTTTAGTATAACTAGTTACATGACAACGCTCATGTAATAAATAATTAATCGAAAACTAAAATTTTAGCTAATAAATTCTCTGTACAGTAGCATCAGTGGCGATCGAATAATACACGAGCGATGATCCGTTATATTATCTATATTAAAAAAAACACATGGATTAATTGTATTTGGTCTTTTCTACCGATCTGAAAATATAAAAATAATACAATACAAAACGAATGTATAGTAGATACCTATAATACCAAACAGAGCTTTGTATGGGCTGATATAAGTGAATCCGATCTAACCGGATTGAAATTCGAAGTTTGTTTGATCCAATCCAATCTGAATAAAGATTCGAAAATTTTGGCCGCCCCGACCCAACCCGAAAAATTTACAAGTTAGGCCTACCTGAACATAGAAAATTCATCTGCACAGTATAATGAATACTTATATTTTAATAAATATTTTGTGAAAATGTTAGGTCTCTAAGGTTATGTTAACCAATTTATAACAAATAAATAAAATTAAAAATAATGCAACTATAAATGCCGTAAACTTTCCCGTATTTGATTTGATTTTTCCGATTTTTCCCAAATCAAAATACGAATTTCATACTCACCGACTAGAACCGAAATGCAACAAAGAAAAGGTATCTTGTCGTTTTTTTGATTGGATTAAGCTTTCTGCTTCCTTATTTTCTTTCAAGCTCTTACTGCTCTTTATTGGTGGATAAAAAGACATTTCAAAAGATACGGCGAGATGAGAAAGAACATAACACGAGTAAGTGGTTTCGGACATGTATTGTATAAGAAATTATAGAAAACTTTCGGTCGAAAATACAGAAGTCGCTGATTATTACTGACTTTATAACATACAAAAACAAAAACAAGTTATCCTATCGTTAAAATTAGTGACGTTAATCAATGGTATGACGTACAGCGATATAGAACAGCCGATATTGTAACTCTCTGTAGAAAATACGATTTACAGAACTTATTCGCATGAGACATATTTTGTACTGCTTAATATAATATAGTGTGTACAGTGTACACTGTACACTATGTGTGTGTGTGTGTGTGTGTGCCATACGCATACGTTGTTTATAGCTAAACATTATGTGAACAGTCGTGAGGAATTTATTGGAAATACCGATGGACAAAACAAAAAAACAATCATAAATACGACTACGCACTTGAAAAACGTATACAGTATACACATAAAAATATATGTGCTCTTCGAACAATGAGTAATATAAAGAAAAAAAAAAATGAAGAAAAACAACATCCCGCTATAAATATTTTACCTTTTGGTTAAAATATATTAAAGTGGTGTTACACACTTACATGATACCTACATAGGTAACGGATCGTTAACTTTTAAAAACGAGTTATAGATTCTACGGAAAAAAAAAATACAGCACGGTCGAAGATAAAGATTATTTTGAGAAAAAATACTGATTTTAAAAAAAATTGCGCGTACTATAGTATAAACTCCGAGAAATGTTATAGTGCATAAAGTAGTTTGCATTTTCTACAGGGGCCCGGGGGAGATATTACAATGACATAAAAACCGCGTCTTTAAAATATTTATTTTAAGGGGATTGAATACCGATATTTTCTTTCTATGTTTAACGCGGTTGTGAGTAAAAATGCCCGAAGAAAAAACGTCCGAAGTAAAAATGTCCGGAGGTAAAAATGTCTGACACTATATTTAATTTATTATTTATATTTATAAATTATAATTATATAAGTATTATATTTTTTTACCTCCGGACATTTTTACCTTAGGACATTTTTTCCTCGAAAATGTTGGTAAAACTTCGTTTAGTTTAACACATATTACGCAGCATTGCATTAGACCAGAAATTCGTCAAACAGTCCGATCCATGTAATGAATCGATAACAATAATGAAAACAAATTTGAATTCAACGTAAAGTGTAAATTAAATCGGTCGGGCCACTTTTTCGAATTTCTATCTTTAATTTTCGAAAAATTAGATTTGAAGATTTTAAAATTTATGTATGTATATATATATAAAAAAACTATAACTAAATTGAAAAAAGTGAAAAAGTGGCCTGACCGATCTCGTGTAAACTTCACGCTGAATTTAAATCCGTTTTCAGAATATATACGGCTGCAATACATCGATAAGAAAATTGGTCTAAATTGTTGTGCTGAATAGGAATGTGTTAAACGAAGACATAAAATATCGGTATCATCCATTGCCCTTTAGGCCTTTAAACGTTTCGAATAACGTAAGGAAAAAAATACAAATATTTTAAACGAGAGCAGTCGAGATTACTCAAACACTAAGAACGTTTATCATTGCCGATGATGTATGTTTACTTTTTATTTTTAAACGTGAATGTATTATTATTTTTCGAGACACCGATTTGTTCAAGTTAAAAATTGTCGCGTAGTCATGTTGTTCACTCATGCTATATTGCACCGTAACACCACTGAGACTGGAACATTATTGTTATTATTTGTATTATTTGTAATTTAAATTCTATCGAAATTATGCATAATATCGTAATACATGTTACCTATACTGAATCAATTCTATTTGAATTTGAATACTAATTACTATGTAATTATTGTATTATTGAATAACGCGGCGATGCGTTATTAAAATGTTAAACGCGAGTATTTCATGACACTCGTTTACAAGGACAATCGTAATGATATTTATTACCTACTACGGTTATTCGGATAGACTGTGCGTCATCGAAATGTGCTGTAACAAAATCTAAGGTTTTTCAAAAAGGGCGGCGAGTAGCTACCACGGATATAACGTAGAGCCATAGACAAACACAGAACCATAGAAAACAAGACTCGATGAGTAAATGGGAATAACACTGGCAGGTTTTAGATTTACTGGCTAAACGACGAAATGTGTACAAGGTAACCCCGTCCAACTGAATCCGTTTATCTGAATCGCACGTCAGAAATTATCGTATCAATATAATTTATAATCTATGTATAATTGATACATAAACTATAGATAACACGATTTATATGTATCCACGGACCGAGATACATCTTAGTACGTATACACATATATATCTCAAATAGTGATAGATAATCGTAGCATAATAATATACCGCGAACTGTATGATCAACATACGCGATAATAATGTGAAACGCGTTTGAAATTATTTTTATTTAACTCGTGGTTTCCAAACCATTGCACTGCCACTGTTGTAGTTGGGTAGTTGGGAAGGTGGGATAAATCAAATTACTTAATTTATACTTGTAACCAACGATAAACCATTGTTAGCCGAATCGTTAAAAGATTCGGTTATACATGTTTTAAAGGGTCTTTTTTGACCACTAAGTACGATATATAATGAACCTCCTTTTAAATTTTCAATTATCCACAGAGAACTTACCAAATTAAAATTAAGTATAAAAATAGCAAAATTAAAATGTCTATAAATAGCTCAATAATGGCTCGAATATTTGGAAATTTTACCACGTCTATAAAAAAGCAAATATAAGTTTTATATAAAAACTTTAAGTCTTTACGAATATATTTAATTGAATTACATTAAAAAATCGAAATTTAATAAAATAAAAAAAATTGTTTTCGTAAATTTTCCCGTACATTCTACGTGTTTTTCGGTTTTCCTCAATTGATAAAAAAAAAAAAATAAATCAAACAACGATTTTCTTGGTCACCAATTAGAAAACAAATTCAACAAAAAAGATTTCACGTGGTTTTTCTATTGAAGCAATGCATATTATATTTCTGAAAACAGATAACGTAAAATTTAAAAATAACGAATTCGTAATGCCGTAAATTTGTCAGTTTTTATTTTACGTTTTTTTTTTTGGTTTTTTCCAATTATTATGAAAACCCCTTGGAAAATAAAATGACCTCCTCAATGCACCAATTCGATAAAATTTCCTTTCAGAAAAGACGCCATACTTGATAAACCAGAGCAAATTTAGTTTGAAAAGTTGCTTACAGACACAAAAAAATTTAAACGCACACACGCATAAACATATCATAATGAAATCAATAGATCCTTCGCCGCATTCCAAATATTATATTGCATGGGTCAATTGACACGAGTAGTTCCCCTCTTGTTATATGGCTGCCAATTTTTTTCTTATCATTTATGAGACATTGATCATACAGTCGGCTGGCTATCTATAGTTCATATCACTATACCGCCAAAAATCCGTCGTTTGAACAGGATCGCACGTTTTTGTTTTGCGATTTTAAATAATATTTAAATATAGCTTTTACGCGCAATTGATCTAACTGCCAAATGTGCATCCATGTGTTGTATTAATATTTTTCAAACATTTTTTTTTTTACATAATTCCGCTGCAATGAAGATCTAATATTATAATATCCTAAACAAACGTCAAACTGTACAAATATAATATAATATGGTAGGATGTTTACAGTTTTGTACGTAGGCAGTAAAAATTCGTATAATATATTTAACAGCTAGGTAACTACTAAATTGATTATTCGAATTTCGAACGGAATTTCAATACAAAATAAACCGAACAATAATTATCATTTGCGCAAATAAAAAAATGGTGTTCTAATTAAATGAAAAAAAAAAAAAAAAAAAAACACAAAACAAAAGCTTATATTGCCACGGCGTATGAAAAATATTCCCGAAATGGTAAAAAGATCCAATCGTTGGAAAATAATTATAGTCTTTATTCATTATTTAAGCGTGGAAATGTGCTGAGCGCGGGCTTCAACAATCATCTTGTGTGTATTATTGTTTAATAATTTCGTCATCGACGAAAAATTTTAGATACCTATTCAAATATGTATTTAATGTCACTCTAGTAGTGTGGACTAAGCAGGTATAATGTTTTTTTTTTTTCGCCGTCAGAGCATTTAAAGACTATTTATTAATGCCCCCCCGTCGAAGAAAAATATCCGTAGAGAAAATGTACCTATGATAAATAACAAATATGTACAGTCTACAAATATTGTTCAATAACGATTGATAGAGAGTTTGAACTTCTAAAATCAATAATCGGTGGGACGTTCCGGTTATCCATACAAATGTGTTATATTATTATATCATTGTGTTATATAATTAATGGGTCGTAGGAAAAAATAAAAAAAAATACCTCACGAAAAAGTATCTTTTTAAATAAATAATAACCATATATGCAAATAAATGTATCAATCATAAAATAAAATATGATACAAATTTACAAAAAACAAAAAAAAAAAAAAAGTGGTATCTACATAATATGTATCACATATTATTATAAACGGATAGATTCATAGATTTACAATATAATACTGCCATCTTCCACAGCTTCATATGTTCAGCTTCACAGAAAGAAAGACATATTTTAATATTTTATCCTAAAATCCTTGAGTGTATTATACGGAAGGAACGCAATGAGGAAAAACGAACATAAAATACCGTAACAACAGTATAAGGATGACAATGTCTATGACGTCATAGATATGTCGAAACATAATAATATTGTACGCCGCCGTACAGAATTCAGATTACGGATATTATTCCACCAACTGTGTTAACATTGTAAATTACGTCACGGATTTCAGTTTTATCCACTGTCATTTTTTATTTTTTTTTGTCATTATAATCAATAGTCATTAAAAATTCGATATTTTGTTTCAGGTTCGGAATTAAATTCGTGAGTCAATCACATTTTCCATTGTGAGTGTAGCGAACAAATTATCTTAGTTATATTAAAAGATGCGTGTGTTTTTTTTTTCTTGAAAAACACAATTCCGGTCAGTAAAACAATTAGATGTTCTGTTCTTTAAAGTATGTGTTTTTTGTGCACACTTTAAAAAAAAAATTGCTTTTCATGTTTTTATTAAAATAAAAACACACACTTTTTTGTTTATGTTTAGGTTTTAAAATGTTAGAACCCTAGTAAGTTGCAGAATTTTCATCCGGTGATTCTTTTCTTAAAAGATTTTTTTAAATTTTTAACAGTACGCACTATCCTACAGTTCTAAGTTGTTTTTTTTTGTAAAAATGCTCTAAATTATTTACATTATACATTAAATTATACGGATTGTTCGTCCAATGGGTCGTTTACTTGAAATAAAATGTCAAGATACCCAACAGTTATTCTAAAAAATTAATAACAACAAATTTCGGTACATTGGTTTTATTTTTATTGATTTCTGGGTTACCTTGGCTACAATAGCAGAAAAACCCCGACTAATCATATTATAAACCTTACCAGTTTACCAGATTCGCTAATAATTGTTTTTTGATGGTTTATCGTTGATTTTAGTATACAAAATAATTTCTTCTATATTGTATACTTTCCAAACTTCCCACTTTCAACAGTGGCATATCCACTGGGTGCGAAGTATATCCGACTTTTTCAAAATAATTCAAATCTATAATTTTCTATATAATCTATTTTGTACCTTATATTATGTGTTGTGCTTTGTCTAGATAAATTGTTATTATTATTTCTACCTTTTATCTTATCTAGATAAATGAGAATTTGCGTTTATCTTTATAACTTGGATGGATTCGGAACGTATAACAATAATATACTTAATGAAATAGGTGAACGAACACAGCATCTAGTTACCGCAAAATAAAATAAAATTCAACCACATTCTGGCAAAAAGTAAATTAATCAACAGAGGAATTTTACCGTCGGTGGTGGTCACAAAAGGAGATGATTCGTGTACTTTGCGTAGGTATATGTATACCTCGTACCAAAGGTTTTTATTACTATAAATAAAATGAAGAAAGAAAATCATCGAGCACCTTATTATATTGCTGTGCACAAAAGAGTATAAAATACACGTTGGACAAAAACATATTATGTAATTGTGAAACCTTCAAATTATGTAGGATCTACTCGGTATCTACCTCAAGTTAGTAATTTCCCCTTCTTTGGCAACATGTATAGTACAATATAGTGAGTTCGTTATGGGAAAGTTATTTGAATGCGAAAA